GATGCAAAATCTTTAAAATAATAAATTTTATATTCGATATCCAACAATAAAGTTAAACTATATTTAACTTCTATATGAAAAAAAAGTTAAAGACAAAATATTGAAAAATACCATTGAAAACAGTATAAAACGATATAAAACAACAAAATGGCAAATTTTTAAAAAATAAAAAAGTTAAAAATTAATGTTTATATATATAAACGTTTGAATAAATAAAACAAGTGATTAAAAAAATGAAAAACTTATGAAGAATTTAATACAAAAACAAAAATCTAGAAAGCAATTACAACAAAATGACGATTAAGGAACTTACCAACACAACACCACTACAAATTTCTCCTCTCTCTTCATAAAAACAAATTTAACAAAGAGCGTCACTTTTTCTATATTTCTATTATATTTTCTTCAACTTTCTACACTTTTCTTTTCATAAAAAAAAAAGAAGAAATCATTAAAAATGATCCACTAGATTTTCATAGAAAGATTAACATTGAACAAAGTTAATACATATTTGCTATGAATAATGAAAGGTAATTTTGAATTGCGTGTGTTTGAATAATTTGGTAGGAACTAGGGCAACAGAAAATGAATTCAATTCATAACAGAGCAAAATTCAAAGATGCATTCACCGCGTAGGAGCTTGTACTTGTGTTGGTCAATGTAGTTATAATAAGTAAGTAATCACTTAAAATTCGAGTCTTTTTGTGAGAAGTTCGAGAATGTGAGTATGTATGTGCATGAATATTTTCCAAGTTTGTGGGCTATGATCGTGTGCTGGACCCATGCATGAACGAAATATAGTTTATATATCTAAACAGAATGAAAAAACTTAGATTAAAAAACATATTGTAACAGGTCATCACGTGGTAACGCGTCCACGAATGTGTATGTGGACTTTCAACACCGTTTTTTTAAGATTCCATGACTTTATAATCAAATGGATTCGCTCTAGGACAATGCAAGTGGCAGATAACAAATGACTTTTTGTCCCCTTTGTAGATACAGAAAATATATAGCAGATAAGTTTATCAAAAACATTATTTAATTTTTTTCTTTAATATTTTTTCTTTTACAACTTTCACCAAACATCTTTAGAATAACTTTTTTCCTCCCAACTTTCATGCTACAAATTTTCTTGTTTTGAACGTTGCACTCTCTTATCACTACAACCTTCATCTTACCCAAAAGTTAGAAAACAAAAATTTAAGTAGTCTGAACTCATGACCAAAAATATATAATCTTAAACTAATTAAAAAAGTTATTTATTTCATGCAATAATTTTTTTAAAATAATATATGTATATATATATATATATATATATTACTATAAATTATATGTTAAATTTGAATTTAAGAGTGTTTTAGAAATAATAATATTAAATGGAATTGAATTAGTTAAATTTTGTTTAATTTTTAATCTAATATAAACATTTTCTGTGGTTATCTGGAAAATTGGATCAGACTGTTGGACTAATCAAACTGAAACTGGCATAATAATTGGTCTGGGACTGTAAATAGGTAAAAATATAAACTAATTAATGGTCTGAACTGTTGATTTTTTTTATATTTAATTTTAAAAACTTATTAGAAGTAAATATAATAATATAAATTCATAAATATTTTCAAATTGACATAATTAATTTTTTGTTATAATATATATATATATATATATATATATATATATATATATATATATATATATGAAATTTAGTTCTATATCAGTTTATCGTCTTTTTAATTCCTTTTTTTCATATAATTTTTAATTTTTTTTTTTTACTTTTATGTAAGGTTGTTCTCGTTTTTTTAATTCTTTTTTTCATATAATTTTTAAAAGTAATTCATTTTTTTTGTACTTTTATTTAAGGTTGTTGTTGTTAATGAATATTATTATAATTTATTAATTAACATGAATTATTATAATATATTTTATTTAGACTTGTACATTATTTTGTATGTTAGAAATCAAATTTAGGCTTGATATTATAAAATTATATTCAATTAAAAATAGTATATATTATTTAACTTTTATTTATTAAAATTGAATTAAACTAGACTTAATGATAATTAAATAATTGAATTTTAAATGAGTACCTTAAATAATTAGTCTAATTTTTAATTACATCGGTAAGAAAAAAAAGTGATAAATAAAGAAAAAATACAAACAAAGTGGCAACCTTAATAGCATTGTTCCCCCAAGAAATATAAGAAAATGAAAATATAAAATATATAAGCTAGATAGTTACATGTTGATGATATATTAAATTGGGTAAGTGCAAATTCAAACACGTATTGGACCATACAATTTTCCAAAGATTTCATCATCTTTTAATTAAAAATATTATTAGTGTATCACTTACGGTATTTTTAAAAAGACCATGTAATGTTTTTTAAAATTCATTCAAGAAAGTATAACTTTGACTCTTGTATTTACATGTGTATGAAACTTTGAGACTTCTCTACATAGAAAGTTGTAATTTACTTTGTTTGTCAAGGAGAAAAGGGTGTAAACCATCTTTTTACTTGTGTTTTAATAATAGTATGTGACAAGTATTATGAATCTACTATCAATATATATATATATATATATATATATATATATATATATATATATATATATATATTTTTTTTTTTTTTCGGTTGAAAAGTATTACTTATGATGCAAAACACAGCTATGAAATTTTAGGATCTGGTTTCTGAGTATTTTGATTTAAACAACACAAACGAATAATGTTAACACTCTTGTCATTTAATCTTGATTGAGATCTAATTCCAAATAAATATAATAATAAAGTTATAAATGTATAAACATATTTTTACCAATAGAACGAAATCAAGTTTTTTATAAGTATCGTATAAATATGTAATTTTACATTTATTAATTACTTTAATATATAATCTTACTAAATACATATAATTCAATAAATCATAACAATCTTTAGTTTGAACTACCGATTTTTGACTATTCCACCTTATTATTTGATGATATATTCCTAAAATAGCTTTATTCTTGAGACACCCCTCATTCATTAGTGATTCATTTTAATCTCAACAACTTGTTTTCAGTCAGGATACCAAGTTTCAATAAGGAATATTGAAAAAAAAAACTTTTTTGAATTAACGTGATTTTTTTTATATATATTTAAGTTCGGAATGATTTCTAATTAACTTTTCAACTTGTAATTAGTTTTTCAGTTTTAAGTTAATTTCTCTACTTTTGAAAAAAAAAAACATTTGTTTCACCTTTGCAGAATTGATTAATATCCCTTTAAGACCCAAATACAAAAAGAAATGATAAATTCAAACATAAATAAATTTAACTATTTGATTATATCTATAATCTTATAAATATCCAGCGAAGGGAAATTGAAGATTGTTTCTTTTTTAATATAATCAATAAAATTAAATTCTATTAACTAACTTTCTTAGTTAGAATAATAAAATTAGTTAATTTTGATCATATTTGAACATGGAAGTGTAGAAAATTATACCCTAATTCTAGAAAGTGACTTGGAAGCCAAGGAATTGACTATTTTCGGGCATGCATTGAACCTGGTAAAACATTAAATAATTCTTGTATAGTGCTGATCTAAACTCAATCATATTATATTCTGCAATTGACCTCACTTGAGTTGGAGTGTGTAAGCATATTGGAACGCGTGAATTTGGAAGTTATGTATATGTGATCTTAATTCCTATTATTATTTAGAAATTTATAGAGAATTTTCTTCTTCCAATATTGATAATTAGGAAAAATAAAACAGAAGAAAAAGAAAAATTCTGTCAAAGAAAATATAAAAAGTTTTAAGAGTAGAAGGAAAACATCTTCATTAGGGTTAGAAGCTGGGCGGTTTTCATTTATCTGTTTTAGGATAAGGAGTAGAAGGAAAACATCTTTGTTCCACAAACGAGGATGTTTTTCACACTTTGGGTAGTCAGAGTCTATAAAATAAGAAGACTTCAATTAACTTCGAGAAGACTTCATATATAGAGGACTATTTTCCAACTAATCGCAAAGAATCAACTTTTATATATTGATGAAAAAAGTAAAATTTTATAATGATAATTTCCCATTCTTTTGCACATAATTAAGTTTTTTATTTCTAGATATGGAATTCCAGTGCTTCATCCAAAAGTAAAAAGCGAACTACATTTAATTAATTACTTTTTACATTATTATTAATAAAAATTCAAACGTTAAATAGTATGTATGTCCATATTTTATGTATTGTTATTATTTTTAATTTTACTTTGTAGATATATTTCACATTTTTTTTCTCTTACATTTTATTTTATCCCTTCTTGCTATTGTAAAAATAATGACAAAAAATATTATAAAAAAAATGTCATGTACATAAAATTAGTTTATATTATAATTATTATATGATACTGCAAATCTATCCAATAGTTTTTGGTTGAATTTGATACGCGATTTCCAATCCATTCCGGCGCGGAAGAACATTCAACTGAGTGGTTGGCTAACGACCCACTGTAACCAACGAAGGTGTCTTCTAGTTTCCCCATTAGAGGACAAAACTTGGGTCATTATTTGCAATTGTTTAGTCCAGCCTTCATAGAGTTTCATTTCGTAGTATACTTTATCTAAGGGTACTGCTCACCACTTTATTAAAAATACTTAAAATAATGTAAAGAAATCTATTATATTTTTTGCATGTAGCTAGTTATGGTTTTAACATAAAATTTAAGAAAGGTAATAGTTTTCTAAAAATAATTAATATCTTAATACAAATGGGAGTTATAGTTATTTTTTTAAGACCATGGTTAGCATTTTTCTTATTTTATTGGGATGAAAACAATGATATGTGTATCATTCCTCTTGGCAGGCATTCTGATGTTATATATAAAGGGGAACTGTCTCGCTGCTAATGTCTTTCGCCTAACTCTTCTTTCAACTCTCTCTCACACACACAAACACACAGAATCAGCGACACCTTAAAAGTGTTACACATATACAGTGAGATAGAGTTTGATAAGTTGAGAAATATGGTGAGAACCCCTTACTGTGACAAAAGTGGACTCAGAAAAGGAACGTGGACACCAGAAGAAGATTGGAAGCTGACTGCTTATGTCACTACACATGGCCACAAAAATTGGCGCAAATTGCCTAAGTTTGCAGGTAATTCAAGAAGTGTGTCAGTTAACAACCATCGTTCACCAAAATTCTCTTCAGAACGTTGCTCTTATCCCTCTTAGAACAGTTCTGGTAACATTTGGAAATATTGTTTAACACGTCAACACTTATCAAGTCTATTTATAGAACATGTAGGTAAATGAATTTTACTGTTTGAAACCTTCGGGAGTAAATACTAATTTCATGGTAAATTTTCACATCAGTAGTAGGGATGTATAAACTGATGGTTTACTAAAGTTTATTAAACTGTTGTTTTTGAAACATGTATTAGGATCAATTAAGACTTTGGCACGAAAAAGCTTTCTGTTTATTTCTTTTCTTCTAAATACACACAACTTTATGTCAAAACCTTTTCGCATCATTTGGTCATTCAAATAACAAACATGCCCGTCTTGATCTTGATTTTGTAACTACGAAATTAAACTGCGGGAATTTTAAAAACTACTTCCAGAATCTCAACAAATCCATCATTAGGTCGGTCATCAAAAAAGGGAAAATTGCATTCATATTCTACTACTTGCATTCAATGTAGTGCAATGTTTTCAGGTCTTGCTAGGTGTGGAAAGAGTTGCAGATTGAGGTGGATGAACTATTTAAGGCCAGGCATCAAGAGAGGGAACTACACTTACGAAGAAGAAGAGACAATTATCAAACTCCACGCAAGTCTTGGAAATAGGTACACCACACACCCACAATACATGATTGCCCTCCTTCGTATTGAAATTGTGAACTAAGATTGTTAAATGAGTTTGATTTCTATGCACCTTATTTCAACTAATAGAAGCTCATGCTATAATGATTTTTCAAAGAATTATTAAATGATATATGGTGCACTATATTATTACATGGACTTCTTGCCGAAGTTGCACTATAGAATCTATTTCACTACATGTGAATATAAACCTTAGTTAATTAGTGCAACTCCCTTTACTTGAAGGTGGTCTGTGATTGCCTCTCACTTACCTGGAAGATCAGATAACGAGATAAAAAATCACTGGCATGCACATCTTAAGAAGCGCTTTCAACATAATTCTGAAACAGATGAAAAAGTTGAAGCTTCCACTCCAAAACACCACTCCCCAGTGGAATCCATTCAAGAGGAATCAGTGGAAGTTGATGGAAGCTGTTTCCAAAGCAGTTCCCCAGATACTTTCCAAACTCCTAATGGTGCTTCTCCATCGTCCCAGCTCCCATCATTGAACGATGATTTGCGCATGATAACTGAACCTGCACCAGCCAGTAGCGGGAATTTGGTTGATGACTTTGCTGATGTTATGGAGGAAAACACAGATCCTATAAGTGCATATTCTTGGAAAGAACTCTATGAAATTTCGTACTTCAGCGAATTTCTGGCTCCTTTTGTGACTGAACCTGAAAGTTTTTGTCCATTTTATGATGATTGGGGGATGTTCGAACAGTAACAGGAATATAATATGGGTTTGGTTTTTCTTCTTCCTTATTGGTTCTTGGGGCAAACATAAAACATAGGGCGAATCCCACGTTCCCAACTCTTATATATGTGCTGTGTAACTTCATTTAATCTTTAATTGGATTGAAGTTGAAATTGATCATCATATATATACATGTTTAAAATAACTATAGAGAACGTGAATTCCTATTTTTTCTATTAGTGAGATATACCATATATCTCTTATTTGCTGATAACTGTAGAATGTAATCCTGCAATAAATAGAGTTTCCACTAGTACTCATCTTCCAGAAAACCAGCAACTGAGCAATGTAATTCAACAATATAATAAAATATAAAACTTAAATACAGTAATATAAGTGCTATTAATGTTTTTTTCAATCAATTTAAAACCAACTTGAAAATTTAAATTTGATTGAAAAATAACAGCATCATATATAATGCCTCATCTAAATTTTATATTTTCCCCCTAAGTGTGTCCTCACATTATCTCTATGACTATCACTTTCAGCTTCTTATAGGTGGATCGATCTCACAAGTGTGGAGCAATATTTCTGCAGAATCCGCGACATACTCATTAACAACACCTCCTTGATAGGAGGTCCAACAATCCATGGCTCTCAAAAATTATGTTGAACAGCATATGTAGGCTCAATAGCAACAACGAACTCTTACATGGTGCGTGCCGCAGCAACTAGAATTTATAAAATAATAGTTTTATAATATAATGATATAATAAATATATAATAAATTTATTATTAATAATAATTTTTTTATAAAAAAAGAACAATTTTAATAATAATAAAATTTTTATTATGACTATTATAAGTTACAGTGAAAATTATAAATATAAAATATAATAAAAAATAAAAAGAATAATCGCGAAGATAAGATAAAATTTTAAAAAATAAATATTATTTAAAATTAACATGTGATAAAAAATGTTATATTTTTTTAAAAAACTATATTTTTTTTACTAAAACCAATTCAAAAACTTTATACATTTATTGACATTGTGCTTGGTTTTTTTATGTTATATTATTTAATTAAAATTTAATTTTTAGAAAAACAACGGATCAATTCCAAATCAATTCCTGATTGAATCAGACGAACCTATTGAGTTAATCCAATTTTTAAAACAAAACCTTCAGCATGTGTCATGCTGCTCTTTTTCAAAATTTAAAACAGTTTAAATAAATACTTAATAAGTTATTTAATTTTAGATGTCAAAGTTTTTATAATGTATATAATTATTGAATACAGATCTTATATTATATATTTGTTTAATTATATTATATTATGTAATAATAAAAAAAAAATAACACATATATATATATATATATATATATATATATATATATATATATATATAAGTATTTATGTAACAATTCTATACATTTATGTAATTTTATTGATTTTTCTAAAACGCACACTTATTCTTAGTAGTTTAAAAATAGTAAGAGTATTAAATTTATTAAATAAGTATTTTTTTTTGTCATCAATTTTTTATACTATAATCTCTTACAGTGTTCTCTAGTTATATCTATAATATCTTGTTAACTATATATAAGATTTTTTTTAGCAAAAATTAAAAAATTTGTTTATATAAATAATTCTGACAAATTTTTAAATTGTTATGAGATTCATAATAAAATATTTATTTTTATTTTTAAATAACTTTATTAAAAATTGTTTTGGATATGACATTCACGGATCTAAAGACTATTAACCATTTATTATTTCCTAAAAAAGATGATTTATTGATTATCTTATAATTTAATAGCTCATAATTTTTATTTTTATTTTTACAAATTCAACTAATTTATGGTTAATCAAACCATAATAATCAATAATAACAAATATAAAATAACAATGAAGAAGAAATTAGAAAATATAAATATAATTAAAATATAAAGAGTTTAATCATTATATTACTCATAATTTTAAATAACATAAAAATAAAATAAAAGAATGAAAAAGTAAAAAAAATGATGAAGAAGTAGGAACGATAGAAACAATAGGTGAGTGTCTTAGTTTCTTCTCTTCAAATTTGTGTTCCAACACCATTTTTTTTCTTTATATTCAAAATTTCGAACTAATAAAAAGTACGTAAGTATTTACTTTGATATTGTAGAAAAAATGGAAAGTTAAATCATTTTCCAGTTAAGACAAGGAAGAAAAGCTATATCATTGTCAACTCAAATTCAAATATACACTTAGACATGTTAGAGTTAATAAACACTTAATACGCTAACTAAAAAGTATACCACTAAAATTTAAATAATTTTTAATTTTATTATTAATTTTTATTTTTATGTAAGGAGACTTTAAGTCCAAAACAAAATATGCATTATATTTTTAAATTAAAAAATTTATAATTACATTAATATAATTCATATTTTACTTTGGATATCTCAGGTTGACTACTACGTTCTCCCATTATTTTTTTTATAATTAATTGGTAAAAAGGTAAAATATATAATTCTAAATTTAAACAATAAAATTCATGAAATTAAAAACTCAGTGTATAATTCGAAAAAGTATAAAAATAATAATAATAAAATATGTAATTAAACTTAAAATATTCTATACATTAAAATAATACATATTAGTACCGTTTAAATATATATATATATATATATATATATATATATATATATATATAAAGTACATATCAACCTGCTGAATTAATTAAACGTAACGTGACCCAGTTATTTTGTATGATTTGATAGATAAAATTAACCACTTCATCGGATTCAACGAGTTTTCACACTACCGTATAACCTTAACATACCAATACAATTTTATTTAATATTACAAAATATTGCACTACCTTTTTTTTAATATTATTATTAGGATAAATAATCGAACTCCAGAAAAAAAAAAGAAACTGAGTATACTTCATTTATTGAGAGAAAGAAAAGCCACACAATAAAAAGGTGGTGACACTTATATATACATATACATACATGCGAATGTCCTAAAAAACTAATTAACCAAAGATAAAATAAAAATAAAATATAAGCTTATTATCCGGTATTAGCCCCCCGCAAGCTGGAGAATATATATCAATCATTCCCAGTTTGGACAAAATGACATGAAAACTGGTATGAGCAAGAGGTTTGGTAAGAAAGTCAGACAACTAGTTTGAAGAAGATACTGACAGAAGCTTAATTAAACCCGAGAAGAGTTTTTTCCGGACAATATGATGGTCAATTTCAATATGTTTAGTCCGTTCATGGAAGCAATCATTATGAGTTATGTGTATTGCAGACTGGTTATCGCAAAAAAGATTGCAAGGAGTATCCGGTAAGCTGTGAAGATCTTTCAAAAGGTGGTGAATCCACTGTATCTCGCAAATAGTGGAGGCTAAAACTCTATATTCAGCCTCAGATGATGATTTGGATATAGTGGTTAACTTTTTGGTCTTCCAAGATACTAGAGAAGAACTAAAGTAGATGCAGAATCCGGTTATAGATCGCCTAGAATCAATGCACCTTCCCCAATCTGAGTCATTGAATGCATGAAGCTTGAAGTCTAATTTCAACGGAAAAATAGCCCTTTTCCCGGTGAAGCTTTGATGTACCTAAGGATTCGATTAGCAGCTTGAAGATGCATATCAGTAGGTTTGTCTAGGAATTGACTTAGTTACTGGATAGAATAGGATATATCTGGTCGAGTAGAGGTTAAATACAAAAGTCTACCAATGCGTCTTTTGTAAGAAGAAATATTAGATAGAGGGTTTCCAATGTCTTTGGACAACTGAATAGAGGGATCCATGGGAGTTTTTGCTGGCTTTAAGGCCAAAAGACCAACATCTGATAAGAGTTCCAAAGCATACTTTCTTTGGTTTAATGAAATTCCCTTTGAAGATCTGACAAATTCAAGTTCAAGGAAGAATTTAAGATCTCCAATGTCTTTGATGCAAAATTGTTTCTGTAAGAAATCTTTGACATGATTAATTTCAGCAAGGTCACTTCTTGTGAGAATGACATCATCAACAAATACTAATAGAGCAGTGAAACCAGTTGAAGTGTACTTAGTATAAAGCGTATGATCAGAAGAGCATTGAACGAAATTCAGGGATTGGAGAGCCTTGTGAAGAGTGTTAAACCACTGTTTGCTTGTTTGCTTCAGCCCATACAACAATTTCTTAAGAAAACAGACTTGATTTGGTTTTGGAGAAGAGAATCCTTGAGGAAGAGTCATATACACTTCTTCATCTATATGTCCATGAAGAAATGCATTGTCAATGTCTAATTAGTTTAGGTGTCAATGCTTGGTTGTTGGAAGTGAGAGGATTAGCCTGAGTGTAATCATCCTCCTTTTATAGGAATTCGCACCTGTCAAGTCAGGACCACCGTCTCGCCAAATGGGACGGCGGTCTCGCCTTTGGCAAGTGGCGAGATGACGGTCTCGACCCTTTGGGTGAAATTTCTTATTTTTCTTGTACAAAAATCCTTCTCATTCTAATATGGAGCCTATTGATCAATCCTATTGACCTTTTAGGTCTTGTCCATCTTTGAACGAAAGTCTTATGCTCTTTATTTTGAGGTCAGATAAGTTTTGGGGTTCTACAAGTGATATAACCTAAATATAACAAGGAACATAGTGGTCAGACAAACAATTAATAATAAATTTAAGTGAAAATTTATAATGTGATATTGAAAAAAATGAAAAGATATAATAACACTAATTAAAATTATTAAATTATTATAATTATTTTTAAAATTAAAAATATATAATTCACGTAAATGATTAACTAGATTGATAGGATTAAAACTATTACATTCCTATAATCAATATATCAGTTAAATTTCAAAAGTCTGAACACAAAATTGCATTTAAAGGTGAGACTTTAGAGATTAAATGTGTTGGTAAGTAGTTTTAAAACGAATTATTAAGTATGTTTTAGTAATTTAGTTAAAACAACTAAATTGAATGAATTATTGAGTTATTTGTTAATTTAATTTAATGAATTAAATAAAACAAT